AGTTTATGGTTCAAGATTGATCCTTGAAAATATGATTTTCTAAATAGGGAATACGATTCCCAGTTGAAGGGAGAGATAAATTTTTTAAAATTCGCCCCTTATTCCGCAATCTTTGGGCGTCCATAGGATGGATCTCTCATCCCTATGAGTGGTATAATATATGCTATATATTTCCCATAGTTGTAAATTTGAATTGAAAGTGTGCACATGCTTGCCTTTTAAAGCAGGTAATGAAATTAAGCCATCAAAGATTCTAATTGCTGTTAACATACTGGCATGTATTATGGTAGCTCTTTTAAGCTCATGGATCTACTGCCTTGTTAGGAGAAATAAAGGATCAAGAAAAGGTAGATATTCTTAAAATAAAATATAATACTTCACATTATAAAAATTCTTTAGATTCTATTGCAAATTAACCTCTTTTCCTGGTTTGTTGCAGAGAAGAACAAAATTATGCTTGAAGAACCTCCTTTACAGGATACCCATCGTCCAATTAGGACAGATTTTTCATACCAAAACGTTCTAGGAATGGATCAGAGGGAATCTCAGGTTTTTCCCATGGTTAGTTTAGCTACTATACATGAAGCTACAAATGGCTTCTCTGATTTAAATAAGATTGGACAAGGTGGTTTCGGTCCAGTTTACAAGGTATAATAGGATCTCTAGAATTGCAATTAATTCACAAATAAATGTTTCCCTGACTTCTAGGTCGTACTGTTTGGTTTGATGGAAAATAACGCTGAAACAAAAAGTTGAGGGTAAGTTCTTCAGGAATTTCACAAATTTTGTGAAGAATTTCCCCTTGACTTAATCTGTTTCACTCTCGTTTTCTATCAAACCAAAACACTTTTTTAATGTCATCATCTGTTGTTGTTACTTTCTCAACCTTTCAATGCACAACAACTTGTGAGAGAATGCTAATTAAGGCAAAACTAAAACAAATTTAGAAATACTTGTCTAATAAATGCCTATTCAAGCTCTGAATTAAAAAAAAAAAATACTAAGAGGGTTTTATATTCAGGCAACTCTACCTGATGAAACTGAAGTAGCAGTTAAGAGGCTAGTAAGTTCAGAGCAAGGTTCAGATGAATTCATGAATGAATAATGAAACTTCAACACAAAAGTCTTGTGAGGCTCTTGGGAGGTTGTGTGGAAGGAGAAGAAAAGCTACTCGTCTACGAATATATGCCCAATGGAAGCCTTGATGCTGTTCTCTTTGGTTTGCACTATTTTCTTACTATTTTGAATTTACTTGGACATTGAATGAACACAACATAAATTGGAATCAGGTAGCTTAGGTACCGAAAGTCTTTTTTCCCTGCATATTTCAAATAAGATCTAATGCACATTATTCCATGTCTTGTTTGGGCAGATGAGAGAAGACGAGCACTACTCGATTGGAAAAAACGATTTAACCTTATTGTTGGAATTGCTCGTGGAATTCTTTATCTTCACGAGGACTCTCGACTTAGAATCATTCATAGAGACTTAAAAGCTAGCAATGTGTTATTGGATCAGCACATGAACCCAAAGATTTCAGATTTTGGCATGGCAAGGATCCTTGAAAGAAATCATAGTGAAGCTAACACTGCTAGAATAGTTGGAACTTAGTAAGTACTTTCCTTTTAAAATCTTCTGTTGCAGATAAGAGCTTATAGTGGTGTAGGAAATGCTCTTATTTAGAACAAACGACATTAAAACAATACGAATAGTATCCACAAACAACCATATTTTTTACTTTTTCTTAAGTTTTAATTAGGACTTATTTACTACTCTTTTACTCTGCCTGCATAAACTGAAAAGCTAACATGGGTTTTATTTGTAATTGTTAGATCCAATTAATTCTCTAATACAATTCACAACTTTTATTTTATTTTTCTCCTATCACTCCAAATAGTGGATACATGGCTCCAGAATATGCTATGGAGGGGTTGTATTCTATAAAGTCAGATGTTTTCAGCTTTGGAGTTCTCATGCTTGAGATCATAATTGGAAGAAGGAATGCTGGCTTCCATCTGTCCAAACACGCTCCTAGTCTGTTAGCATATGTAAGTCACTCTATCTTTATACCACTTTGTGTTTTGCTGCAGTCACATCTGTTATAACGTCTAGCCCCACCTATGATGAATGTAGGTATGGAGATTATGGAGAGAAGGGAAAGAGTTAGAGTCGATGGATCCATTGTTAACAGAGTCATGTTGTAAAATTGAGTTTGAAAGATGTATCCAAGTTGGATTATTGTGTGTGCAAGAAGACCCGATGGATAGACCTACCATGTCATCGGTAGTTGTCATGCTTAGAAGTGAAACAGTATCTCTTCAAGAACCACAACAACCTGCATTCTCTGTTGGGAGGATTGCGATGCAGTCTGGCCATTCTTTGAGGAGTCCTGGTGATCTTTCAATCAATGGATTAACTGTTTCCGCTGTTCTTCCGAGATGAGAGACATTGTGAATGGTTGCAGGGTTACATCCTAGCAGTGCCTTCATTAGCTAGAAATAGCTAGAATAAAGGATACAACAACAAAGTTGGAATTTAATCTATATATCCTAATGTTAATGTCGACATCCCATGTGTCATTAACTACATTTGTTGATGAAAGAAAACATTAGTTCATCACTTTATCCGCTTACAAATTACATAAATGAAATTATTAATTTTATATAAAATTCTATTAAATGAATAGCATGGATTAGAAAATTTATATCAAGGATCATACTTCAATTTATATCAAGGACTATTCCTCTAATTACTTAACCATTAAAAAACAATTCTTCGAAAAAAAACAGTAATTTTTTTGTTAGACAAAAAAAACACTAAAAAAAATGATTTTATATTAGAATATTTTTGCAAAGTTTATAGCCTAACAATGTTTTTCAATACCAGAATGACAAAACTTGAATTATTATTTTTTTGGCGTTTTCATAGTTCACTCCACCTTAGAAATCTAAGCCCCACTGTATAAGTGGGATTTATGGCTAGGAGGGGCTACTAATAGACTAGAAAGGGAATTCCAGATTTCTAAGGTGGATTGCAGTCTACTTATCTAATTTGGTTTTGAATGCACGCCTGAACCCCATAGGGGTCCTAATTAGTTTTTTATCTTTTCTAGCACATTACAGCACGTCAGCAGCACAATTCTTCCCTTTTATAATTATTTCACCTCTCTTTAATATCCGTTTTACTTTAATATAAATGACACCATTTTATGGGCTTTGTAAATGCCTCACATCAGCCATAGTGTATATGCTCCACCAGTGTTTTCAATCCCACCATTGGCCCAGCCGGTTGAATCATATGATCAGTCACTTTGGGTTCAGTTCTCATAAAACCCTCCTTTTGGTCAAAAGCTGTTGATCTGATAAAAAACCATCCAACCCGGGTGGTTAAACCATTTATCCATTCGACCCGGTCATTGAGTCATGGGTTGCACACTAACATGTATATTATATTTATGTGCAAATTTTCGAATGCCATAAATTTGCACTTAGATTGTGTTTGGTTTGAAGGAAAAAATAGGGAAAGGAAGGGAAAGATGGGAAAACCTCTACAAACCTTGTATGAGTTTTCCTACCTTTCCTTTTCTTTACCTGCCTTTTCCTTCAAACCATAGCCTTAGATGTTTAATTGGGGTGATATCCTTTTTCTTTTTAAATTTTGGGTAACTTTTTGAGGTCTATGTATCCCCTGTTATTTTTGCAACGAAAAAAAAAAAGAAAAACCTTTTCTGATATCAAATCTCATATTTTAACACTTTTTTATAAATAAAAAATTAGAAATATAAATTAAATATTAAATAATGCATATATTATATGTAGAATATAAAAATAATTATATACTATTTATTGAATAGAATAAGTATTTTGTATTTATTTTACATAAAATCTAATTGATTTGATAGGAAAAACGAGATAAAGTTGAAGGAAATCCTTTTAAGAATTTTTAAAACACGTCGTTGACATTATCACTAACTTACGGTCAATAGACAATCAAGACCATGGTTTTCAAAACCATATTAGACTGGACAGTCAGATCGGAAAAACCGAGAACCGGTCAAGTGATTGATTTCGTTTTCCCAAAAACCAAATTTCCCCCCAAATCCGTTGATTTTGGTTAACAAACCACTGAACCGGACGATTAACCATTTGAACCGTTTGAACGATTTTAATCACTTTTTATTTTTTTTGTCAGAACATGCCGAACGTTCGATTCAAACGATCGAATTGTTCAACCCGGTAACCGGACTCCTAATCTATTCGATCACCAAATCGGTTTTAAAAACCATGATCAAGACCACCAATTTTAAATTGTCGTTACTTGCCTTGCCCGGAACAAGGAGAGAAATTTCCTTAGCCCCATCCCATCCACAATAAATAGAAATTTCATTATCTATCAAAGAAACAAAATGAGGGTATATCAACCCTATCCAGTTCCAGTGAGGTCCCAAACCCAGCGTGTAGAATGGGCTAGGTAATCCCAGTCGAGAGTGACTGAATTGTTCACTTTTGATTGAATTACGTCGCCTGCGTTCTCCTGACTTTGTTTGTACTTTGTAGTATATCCCGACTAATTCAATGAAAACGGCATTTCCCCTGCAAGGTTTTAAAACGCGGATTAGACACGGAATTGTTTTGGGGACCTCCCGGGTTGAATAGTTCAATTCTCTGGTTATTTCGAAAAATAAAAAACAGTCAAAAACCCGCTGACCAAATCAATGATTTATGGAATCAATTGCCTATCCATTTTTGAGTCAATCAGTTTGACCATCCGATCAGTCCAGTATCCTGTTTGACTCCATAGCCCATTGCACACACCTTTCGCTTTTTAGCTCATTCCGTTCCACCTTTGACTTAAGGCTTGTTTAGGAAGACTTCTGTATGGATTGAGCTGCATTGTCTGACCTATTTTAAAGAAATTATCCTGAAAGTCGAATTTGTGGCTCATGTAAATCTATTTTTTATCAAATATGTCTTCATGGAATTTTAGGTTTCTCAATTCATGTAATTTCAAAACCTTTCTAGGGTTGGGAAACATTGATCCGAGGCATGAACAAATCCTATATAATATGCAACTTCACTAGTTCACTTCCTTCCGGTGACTCCAGATCTCTTGAAAACAAAATTATGAGAGAATGGCATCCAGCAGGGTATTGAGAATGTTTCTAATACATATATGTCAAATTCATAGGGAAATGGTATCGATATGCAGCTAAATGCTTATAAATTTAGCCCCCTTTGATTCGTTGGAATAGGGGTTTGGAATTGGGACCGGAATGGGCTATTCCAATTCCAATTGTTTGGTTGAGCTGAATCGGAATCCCATTTCCATTCCTGTTAGAATGGCATTCCCCCATTTGAGGAAATGGCCATTTTCCACCCCTCCCTTGGGTATGGCATCTTATTCCTGCTAATTTCAATTCTCATTCCCATTAATGTCTAAACCAAATAGACTATGGGAATAGACCATTCTGATTCCGATTTCGATTCCGGCGGTGAACCAAATGTGCCTTTAGAGCATTTGCAGAGTTTTTTCTCTATTCGGGTTCTCATTGCATAATTAAATCAATTCTACTACCCACTTGGGATTCCAAACTTGAGATTTTTACAATTAAGTAGGTATTTGGCATTGATGTCGTTGCTTCAAAGGTGTTTCCTGAGAAAACGGTGTTGTATGCATGAGGGTCTGTTGCACCGTTTTCTCAAAAAACTGCTTTTTTATATTTGGCATTGGTGCTGCCACATAAGCTGTTTTCTGGAAAAACAGTACTGGTTTTATTTGGAACAAGTGCTGTTTATCCATATTCAGCATTGGTCTACATCATCCAACGCCCAAGATGATGCCACATCATTGCACTGCTGTCGCAACAGGCTATTTTCTGATAAAACATTGAACTTGGCGTTTCTTCACACCATGCTTTCCCGATTTCCAAGTTATAGTCTGAAGCATCATTTTTTTTGGAAGGGATACTAAATAAGAGACCGTTTTCTGAAGCACTGTTTTGACATGAAACCGATGTGATGCCGTTTTCTCAGAAAACAGCATCGATGCCAAACAGCATCTAAAGCAAAAGCAAATAGTACGTAGATTGGATTTGGGATGCACAATCTGCAATCTACTATTGCAGTTTGAGTCCCCATAATAAGCTTGAATGAAATATTAAAAAAACAAGGAGGGTATGGAAAAGGAACAGGTCCGGGAATGGGTCTTCCCCACCAGAAACACACTTCCAATCTCCTGTCTACAAACTGTTCCCACATTCACACCCACAAGGCACTACCTCCATGTATAGGGAACCATCTCCCAATGAATGATAGAAGATATTCCCCATGTGTGCCTATAGTCTCTTCTGGGTATGGCTGCGGGAGCAGTTTCAGTTTGTAGGTATGAATTTGGGAACATCTCCCCATGAGATCCGAGCTTCCAAGACAAACCCTCTTTGGCCTATCCAGCTCAAACCCGCGAAGATAAGAGATGCCGGTTCGGGCCGTCCCAATCTTCTAAGGGAAGAAATCTTCGAATCAAAGATAAATTAAAAATTCAAGCCATCCAAGGGATAAGTAGAAAAAATGTTACAAGAAAAAGAAAAAAGGATAAATAAACTGCACTCCACCTCAGATTTATTGGGGGTGGACTGAACAATAAAAACCAAAAGATGGAAAAGAAAAGTCAAGCCAACAGAGTGCCTATATTCTTTTCTCTGAACGTGTATCGATTTCTTTGATGATCTAGTCACAGATGTCTCTCCGGAGTCGGAAGATGGTCAGAGATGCACCCTCAACTATGCTCTTCTTGTTTGCTTCCATAATCATCCTATGTAGACCCAACAGTGCACAACCTCTCGATTTTTTTTGCCCAGAAAATACAATCGTATACGATTCAAATAGCAGTTTCGCAGCAAATCTCAACCGTCTTCTCATATCTCTAGCATCCAACACTGCGGCCTCAGATGGTTTCTATAACACCTCTGTAGGCTCCGATTCCGATCAAGTCTATGGTCTTGCCCTTTGCAGAGGCGATGTCACTGCTGATGTTTGTCAGAACTGTGTCAACACTGCAAGTCAAGGGATCCTGCAAGAGTGCCAAAACAAGCAAGAAGCAATTATATGGTATGAGTTTTGTCAACTACGCTACTCCTACTGGAAATTCTTCTCTATGATGGTGTATGCCGGAAAGTTTCCCAAGTGGAATGAAAGGGAGCAGAATGTAACAAATCCAGATGAGTACTCTAATATCTGGGATAATTTGATGAGAAACCTCATTTCCCAGACGGAATCTGATAGGCGTATGTTCGCCACCGGAGAGGTCATCAGCATTTCAAAAACAGAGAAGATATATGGTCTGATGCAGTGCACAAGGGACATAATTAGGGATGAATGCGGAAATTGCCTAAGGAACGGAGTGGGAGATATCCAAAGAGGTCCCTTTTCTCGTCGTGGCGGAAT